GAAAACTATCACACAAGCATAAAATTATATATAAAATATTCTATTCTTGTGCACAGTTATGAAACTGAAAGAAGCTTTACATCTATAATTAAGCATATATATAAAACGTGTATAATTTTTGTATATATTTTTTTTATATAAACGTCGATGTACTTCGTTAATCAGTGTATTATCGATCAGACGTGGGTCGCGGTATGCGAATCGAGTCGAGCGTAGAGATCTTTTGGCGAATTAGCGACTGATTGAAAAAAAAAAAAAAAAAAGAAAAAAAAGAAAAGAAAAGAAATTGATCGCAGAGATAAAGAGAGGAAGAAACGCCGATGGAACAGCGGACGAGAGAGAAGAAACCCGCGACGACGTCTAGGTGAGGTAGTAGGTTGTATAGTAGGGAATGGAAATTCGCGAGATACGAAGTCCACTGTACAACTTGCTAACTTTCCCGGTCGTCGGCGCCGCGACGCTGTTGATGCCGCGCGATGTTCTCGAGGAGTCGCGAAAATTTGCGGCGGGGAAAAGGAAGGATCTCGCAAGAGAAACACATGCCTTATTTTTATGCGAGCGCGCGTAAAACTGGCGGCCTATTCGCGATGTGAATGCCGATGTGTATGCGTGTCTCGTTTTCGATGCGTCCGAGTGTGTCTCTCTCTGTGTGTGCGTATGTGTAGAAAGATGCATACATGTGTAGAAAGCAAGTCCATTCTCTCACGATCACGATCTGTAACAGGTATCTCAGTAGAAAGTTACTTTTGCTTTAAATTCAATTACAAAACAAAAACTATCGAATATAATTTGAAAAGACGTAGAATGTATTTTTCTTTTAATTATATTTAATATGCTATTCGCATTAATTTTTAATGAAATAGAATATTTAAAGTAAAAGTGATTTATTGCTGAATTGCTCCACTTAAATGTTACTTCTCGTAAATTTGTAATTCATAGAGAATTTTCTTGTTGTTATCAAAAATATTTTATCACGGGAAATACTGTTTTCTTTATTCTTTTCTTTTTCCAAATTTTGCACTTTGTATATAGTTTTAATCAAATTATATAGAAAAGAAATATAAGATAAACGAAATATTTTCCGAGTTTCTACTTCGATGCTACAATGTCTTGGATTTCCAAGACAAATTTGAATATAATTCTTTTGTAGCCATGACTTTGGCGTAAAAAAAAGTGCTCGTCCGATTCTGGATTTGACTTGTCAAGGGTCGAAGCTGACGCACAATGTTATCACGATCTGAGAATCGGACGACCGCATTTAGCGATAAATGCGAATACGGACCGATAATTTGCAACAAACTCACCGGGGCGGTTGTAAATTTGCATAAAATCGAAAAAGAAAGAGGGCGGAACGTGAGCGTGGAGCGTGAGATGGGACGGAGAGAATGAGAGCGGTGTGGTGTGTGCGAGAAAAAGAGGAAAAGGGCAATGGCGGGCGGGCTGATTGTAAAGCCTGCCGCGTCGCCGGTTCCCTGAGACCCTAACTTGTGACGTCGCGACCGATATCTCACAGGCTAGATTCTCTGGTATTGGCGATGAGTGCTGCCTTTTGCCGATCAAAAGTCAGTCCTAGCAACAGAGATACAATACGGGCTACGTGTTCCTACGACGCGCCGCACATTCGCGTATAAGACGCGCTGGTTCTGCGCTTTTTTTTTATTCCCACGTGTTGTACGATTGAAGAACAAGCTATTGTTTACGTGTGTCGCGTAACTCTTCTTATTTTAATCGACTTGAGAGATTGACTTAGAGATACTCGGCGATTGACTCACAAATATTCGGATACAGAAATGTAAAATTTGGAATAATGAAAATCGAAGAACGTCGCACGAATCGTACAATTCGTGTGATTTTGTGAATTAATTGATTTTACTTTATACGCAAAAAAAAGTGAAAAATAGTTTTGTTATTCGTAATCTTATAGAATTGATTTTTATTTACATATTTTATCTTAAGTGATATAATATGTAAGAGAGAATTATTGTTTCAGTTGTGTGTGAGGAGTGCAGAAATTATCGTTACTTTATCAAAAGGTATAAAATTTCTACATTCTTTAACGTTTCTTCGAGTTTTATATGACTTATAAAATATATCAAGGTAAATTACTGTATCACTAAACTTAACAATTTTTTCATTGTTTTTTGCGTATATATTAATTACGCACAAGTTTTCCACAACAACTGCGGATATACTCCACCATTCTTATTCAAAATATAATCCAAAAACCAATACTTACAACATTTGTATATATAAATACAGCATACATACATACATATATATATATATATACACAGTATATATATAAAGTATATATATAAATTCAGTATATATTCACAGTATATATATAAATTCTGTATTTACATAATAAAGCAATTGTCTTACAAAAGAGAAGAATATCAAAGTATCTCATTTCATGCATAAAAGAACATTTTGTATCTATATACGATATTTATACACTTGCCGATATACGAACTAAATATTGTTACTTTCACATGTTTTTAATGTATGTTATTCTATGGTTTATGCACATGTTTTATACACATATATATATGTATATATATATATATATTTGATCAAATTCAATAAACAATTTTTTGTTTTATGTTACAATGTTTTTTTGTGTATAAATATCAATATTGTACTTCACTATTTTTATTACGTGTGATATGACGTCATTTGTAAAAATTATTTGTCCAAACTCATGGACAAAACACACGGAGGGACTCATATCATTCGCAAAAGTTATAGAAATTATGTCTCAAAAGAAGTATTCTTGCAACTACTATATTCGAATTATAATGCCAGAAGCAAGTAGTTGTATGAGCTTTTGTTTCGCAACTTATAAAGAACTAAAGTAGTTCTCTTGTATGCTATCACCAGCTAGCAAATTCAAAAGTTTAAGTTAAAAAACTCCGCTGAGAATTTTTTTTTCTCTTATTCTGCATTGATATATGGATAATAAACCATGTACTTGCTTCGGCAGTACATATAGTGGAACGATACAGAAAAGATTAGCATGGCCTCCCCCCCCCCCATTTTTGAGGCAAGCGTAGTTCGCATTGATAGATTGATTTTGTGACAGGGTGCTAGACCCGGCATTTTCACAAACCTTGCGCACTAAGTTGATTTATCCTCAACATTCTTTAACCTATACTAACCTTAATTGGTCGATATAAGGTTAATAGATTTAAACAAACCGCAGAGAAAGGTGTATTTGGGAAAACCTCATAACCAGAGAGATCCTAATGCCCTACTGCCAGCTGTAGCGCAGCCCGCTCAGCTCCAACTACCACAACAACCACAAACCACTGCTGTTGCAATGGTCCCTTCACAAGCAAACCCACAGCCGTCTATCGGTAGGCAAAGGAAGCAGTTTTCTAAAACAATAAACAAACCTACACGACTGGCTGCTGCTCTGGAGAGTGCCGCACAGCCCTTGAACAAAGATCCAACTAAGAACACGGTATTCGTTTCGAACATGTCGGTTAGAGAGGTCAGCAATGACACGAGATTCTCTGTATCGACACCAGCCTTGATTGACATCGCTCGGGCATGTTATAACGAAACGTGTGCCGATGACATAAATATACAGAAGAGTCTATTACCTGAGTACGTCGACTACTATTGTGTAGCGATGCTATGGATGTATAACGAAATGTGTGCCGACGACATAAACATCCAGAAGAGTCTATTACCTGAGTACGTCGACTACTATTGTGTAGCGATGCTATGGATGCGTCTCATGACTCTGAAGGTTAAACTCCGACAACCAATCACGGAGACCGAACGTGACACCCTGCTGTTGATTGAAAATTCACAGTTCGCAATACCTGAACCATTAATGATCGAGCTTAGGGCAATTGGACGTGTGCAAACCATGACTCGGGAATATCTGACGCCAACCATTCCAGATCTCCCAACCAGCGTCAGCGCCGGCCAGGATGGGTATTATGGACCTATCAACATCGACATCCACAACGTGTATGAAGAGTTGTCATGCCTCGGTGTTGCAGGCGAAGCCGTTAGACATGCAGTCGGCAACGAGCCAGTTGGCCCGTACGCGTCATCACTCGCTCGCCCACAGCCGAACCAGAATCTCTTAGGTTTTAGGCCTCTTGGGAATAGGCGAAACGAGGGAATAGAAGAACCTTGCTTTCGACGCCAACATCACACCAGACAACATTCCTCAGTATTCACCTAATACGGGGTTGAATATACCTTTTTGAACGGAATTTCAGCAGTGCTTTCTTAAAGTAAAACCAAGGTAACCACTGTAGGTCTAAACAGCCTACCTGAATCGGGATCTGTTATGCAGGCTTTGATTCAACGAACAGAACCACAACCAACCCCTGTGCTTATTGAAAAGCAGCAGGACATTACCGTCGTCTCTATGACGAGCAACTATCAACTTGCGGTGCAAGCATCATGTATTGTCCGTAGTTGTATAAAACCACGACCAACCTAGCAAACACACCATCTTGGTGTTGTATAAACCTTGTTCCACAGGCGTGGATGGACAACCGAAACGAGCAAAGACTCGTTTTACCGGATAGGTATAGACAAGAGGTGTTTAGATCAATAACACAAAACGGTCAATAATACCGATTGTCAACCGTCCGACACCTGTTACTAACCAAAAGGCCAAATATAAAGAACTGAAGTAGTTCTCTTGTATGCTATCACCAGCTATTCAAAAGTTTAAGTTAAAAAAAACTTCGCTGAGAATTTTTTTTTCTCTTATTCTGCATTGATATATGAATAATCAACCATACATACATTTGACGTGCGTGTGTATGTTTCGAAAAAAAGTAAAATCTCACCACGAGGTCTTATAGTCCACGATTTAGAGATATTTATACAAATTCGCAAATCGAAAAGAAAGCTTTTCCAATTTAGCTTTCGAATAATTCATCATAATTTATCATTCAAGTCAATTCGAATATAGTAGCAGAAGTACACAGAAGGGCCTTAATGTTGCATAAAACAAAATATTGAAGACATATTTTACAATGAAAATTATTATTAACTGTACTAGTAACTGTGTCTCTAAGAACGTGTTATTTCATCAGAAATACCGTCTGCCTTCGTCAACAAGTCTACTCAGTTCCGCAGCCGAGTAACCAAGCAATTGCTTCAGATCGCAAACAAACTTATAAACAAACCGCTTGCCCTGAACTTTGGAGATCATATCACCGTCGTAATAATATCGTAAAGCTCTGCTCAGCTTCTCGTAATTCATTGATGGTTTGTTTTTGCGCATTCCCCACAATTGCGCCACCGCTTCTGGTTGGTTGAGTTTGAATTCTCCTTCGTCTCCCACCCATTGAATCGCACTTACATATTCTTTGTCCGTTAATAATTCTAATAAAAATTGCCAAAGTTGTATTTGGCCGCCGTTGCTACTACGACTGTAAGGTGAGTCGACATTTTCGGGCAACGTTATTCGAGACACGTGATTTACCACGGTCTTTGGCTTTGCTGCTTTTTGATTTCGCATTTTAATGGGTTTCTCCGTAGCGTCTTCATCGGGCGATTCAGGAGCGTCTTTTTGTATCACAGCTGTAAGAAAGAATATTCTTGAAATCTCTTACAAAATTCTGAATTTATTAAACATTATTCTTTATTCATTGTATGGCATTGCGTTTCTGTGTCTATTGAACGTACCGACAAATTTACATTTTCTAAGAAGCTCAAAATGTGTCCAAAACACATCACCCGGATCAAGAGGCACTTTCTTTTGAAATTCAATTAAGGTAAGATCACACAGCTGCGCACCAGTTATGTTCCAATCAGCTAGCCGCAACGACATCAAGTTGAATTGCCTTACAGCCCACTGTACCCAATGCTTGACATGAGCTTCTGACCATTCTTTTGGATCAAGTGGTATTTTCAATCGTTCCTTCAAACATATATAGAATAAAATCAAATTCTTCATCTTATGACTTCCCATTTCCCTTCTATCTCTTTAATTTACCTGTTCCTTCTTATACATTTCATCTACAATCCATCTCATGACAGTTCGTTTGTTTTCTGGACTGCTAGGCACTGGTGCTGTGATCAAAAATAGAAAAGAAAATAGTTATTTATTGCATAAAAATTACTTCTATTAAAAAACCAGAGAGAATTATTTACAATTATTTTCCACAACTTCAACAAAATCTTCTGCTGGCTTAAGAACATCTACTATATTAATGCGTTTTAGCATAGGTTTTACTTGAACATTGATCTGAACCAATCCCTCTCCTTGGATACATTGGTCAACCAAGTTTTTATGACACTCCAGCTGTTGTAAACAGTTTTAAAATTTATCTAACTTGTGATAAATGTGTGTAAAGTAATGGCAATGAAGAAGAAGTTGCAACATATGCTTACCATTTGTGCATTTTGGAGCCAAAATTCATAGTTCTTTAAATCTATAGAGAGCCTCTCCTCCAGAAGTGCTCTCAGATTTGATAATGGTTCTCTTATGTCCATGTGCTGCATCAATATTCCGTCGTTGCAATAATCGCCGTTCGTTGCTTCTTCAAGCGCAAAATGGGGTTCCTCCAAATCGGATCCGTCGTGTTGCAATTGCGCCATAATATCGTCGTCCGAGGACGAAAAGATTGTCTCTGGTTCCATCTTTATGCGCCTTATTACAGCATAATCGGAGTCGGGATCAAAGCTGACAAAAAAAATAAATGAAAAGCGCGTGTCTCTTGCCAAGAATCCACGCGGAATTTAGGGTTAGCACTTGAGGTGTGCGAATTCGCTAACCTCCTCTCGGAACTTTTCCGTTTATTTTCCAGATCCATGTTAATTAAATACGCAGGCAACTTACGATCTCTAATTCGATATTCTTGTGTAATTTTCAACGAAATAACTGTTCTGGCCAGCACGCTTTGTTCTTTCAATCGCTTCTTGTATTGTCCGTGTGTGTGAACGCAAACGCTGAGTCTTGTTTTTTCGATGAATTTTGAAACACCGTAAAGCCTTGTAAAGAATTCACACCGATTCACATTCCGCATTCGGATCATCCAATAGAAAATAATCGTTTCCAGGAACTATAGTTGAAAACTTTTTTTAAGCTTTGTATTCACGGATGTCAGAAATTTGTTTGCGGAAAAGTTACTAGACTCGGACTTAATCGTATTGGTCGATCGGTCGAATTGATCAATGTGATTGGTCAATTCCGTAAGAATTGATTGCTTTATTCGTTGATCTCAGACCAATTTCTAGCATCGCGAACAAAAGTTCTAAGCCAGTATTCATAGGTTCTTATCTTTAAGATCGTTTTAGTTTATTTCACAAGATGCCGCGTGGACCATCTCATTGGCTATTGAACATCTGAGGATAGACGATCTTAAAATATGTGATTTGATTATGAATACCGGCCATAAAGCGCAAGCATATACTGATCTATATACGCAATACACGAATCAACACGAATGCCAACGATTACTTACCGTTGGGATTGACGTCTTCTGGCATCTTCCGTCTGCTTATGGTTTGCTAAGTAACGGAATCCAATAATATCCATCAGGTATTTACGATAATTCACGAAGCAACTGTCTCGCCAAGTGTCAATTTTCAGGTTTGTTGGAAAGTAGCTCGCGAGAATTAAATTGACACTATTTTTCGTACATATTTCAGAATAATAAAAACGGCACATCTTCCCTCCCGAGACGAAATAAATAGCAAACACATAGAAAAAAACTGGTGCTGTACATTGACTCAGGTAAACAGTTGTGAGAATCTCACATACATATTAAGACTTATAGTAAAATCAATTTTATAGAATCGGAAGATCTGCTTCCAATTCTGCAGACAGGATGGAAGGAGGAAATAAAGAAGATAAGTCAAAGCAACATATAGGACATCATGGACATCATGGACAGAATCCAGCACTCAGACGACCATATCATTCATCCTGTAATCAGATTGTTTTAGATAAACTAATTGTAACATAATGATAAATCATAATGATAAATCTGTAAAAAATTTGAAAATAATTATTCTTATGCATAGCATTTGGTTATACAACAAATACGGAACATAATCAGGAAGAAAAGAAATTTATGTTGTCACCACAAGCAGCTGAATTTGTTCCAAGAGTTAAAAATCCTTTTTTATCAACTGATGGAGGATATGTAAGAAATTTGTATTTAAATTTTATATACTTTAGAAAGTAACTTTTACTTACATTCAACGATCTATTAGATACAAAGAATTTATTAATCATCTGCTTGTTAACAGTCTGCTCGTTCATCAAAGATTTCTGTGCAAAACAGACTTCAAATGGCACGTGAAGGAGCACAAAACATGCTTCAAAGTAAACAACCTGTAATTACAATGTTGTGTGGTGTGTCAGAAAATAATATTCTGGAACAGTCTTTCCAGCAGCAATGCGCTATGGGAGACTCAGAGACAAGAAGTCAGAATGGATATAAAAATAACAAAGATAATTTGAAAGACAGTAAGGTAAATTTTAATTTTTTTTCTACCATAAAAAGTTTGTATATGTTGTATGCAGAATGTGGTTTATTCATCAGATATATTTTAATTAGGAGAAGATCGAGATAGAAGAACCGATGGATGTAGGTTTAGAAATTTACAATCACCTCAATGTTATTATCAATACTTTAACTACAAATCCAGCCGAATTCACTGATTTAGTTCCGTCATTTGTAAATTATATTAGGAAACTTGGGAACATGAGTTGTCTACATATGATTCTAAAAACTATAATCGAGGGGGTATAACTTTTTATCTCTAAATAACTTGTTATCTAAATGAGTTATTATTACCACTTGTTATCTATGTTATCACAATATTAATCTTATGTTGCTTCATTGGTATTTTTAGTCGATAATCGAAAGTAATTTTCGATATAGTGGAGCCCGGTTTTGTAAACATTTTGCCAGTACAGCAAATGAGTTTTTAGATCAATGCATGTTTTCAAAGTCTTTATTCCAGGATCTCTTATATACGCAGTAAGTTCTGTGATGAAAAGTATTCGAGATTACAAGACTGAATGTGTACATGAATATGTGATGTATCTTAGGTGTAAATTGGAGACTCTGTTGTACGAGCCGGATTGCGAAAATCATCATATGGAGGAATACAATCAAAGAAGGTGCAATGGGCTGATATTGTTTCTAGCAGAGTTGGTCGCCCAGATGGATGAACCTTACGCCTTTCTCTTAGGAGAACTATTAGTGCAGTTTATCAGTAAGATCTTAAAGAAACCAGGCGTGAATTCTGTTAAATATATATGCCAAGCACTCAAAGTGAGTTACGGTTAAACAGTGATAACTATTTCCTAATTCTTTTTCGAATGGATATTTAATGTGACTCATAGTTGGCAGGTTACGTATTGGAAAAGGACAAGAGCAGAAGTAAAGATATGGAAAACATGATGCGAGCGTTAACAGAATTGGTAAATAACGGACAAGTCGACAAGCATGTAGGTAATATGGTGAGCAACGTTCACGAATTACGTAAAGACTGGGGAAAGAACGTGTCTTACGATTCGTCTGGAAAAAACAACTTGAAGGTGTTAAGCGAGATGCAGCAACAGCCGGGCCAAACAGATGCGCCCAATTATACACCCGAAACAAACAATCCTGTTGCGCCGAATAATGAGAACCAAGTGGATCAGGCAGTATTTTACGGTCCCGATGGTTTGGTTTTATCTGTGGATGAAGAACGATTCCTACGTGAGACGCAGACCGATTTAGCGTATGTTAAAATTTACATTTTTATATTTTAAATATATGATAGAAAATATGAATGTTTATATTAATACAATAATAAACATGATATTGTTATATGCGATGATACAGGACGTCTGATGAAGAGGACGTGGATGAGCACTATAACGAAGAAATGGCGATTGCTTACGAGGAACACTTCTTGAAGGACCTTCCGAAGGAACATCAAAATAAAAATTAAAAACTTAACCAAAGAAAAAATGTTGCTTTTTTGCTTTAATGAGATTATATATTATGGCTCAAATATTCGCTAATAAATAAACACTTAAAATATTGTGATTATAAAAAGGAAGGAAAAGAGAGAGAGAAAGAGAGAGAGAGAGAGAGAGAGAGAGAAAAAGAGAGAAAGAGGAAAAAAATAGAATATGACGTGACGTTCAAAAAAAAAGTTGCGTCTAGAATATTTACACTATAAAAGGTAGAACAGAATGGTTGCATACACTCATCACATTTATCCATATGAAAGAAATGCACCAACAACAATTTCAAGCCATGAAGTTTCATCGTGTACAGAACTAGAAATAATATCTACATGATAATAGTGACATATATTTCAGTTGTTTTGTGTACGAGTTAGTCTATTAAAAGTAGAATACTAGATACTTGAATAAATATAGACTTGGAGAGAGAAAACGTTGACGTCGTAATTGCAGAATACATCAATCTCAATATGTGGGTATATATATACATATAAAATATAAATTAAAATTTTTTTTCAAGTTTCTGGTCTTTTCCTCAATTTTTAAGATGAATTTTCGCATCTTCTAGTTAATTTAGTTTTGAAAAAATTGAGTTAGAGTATAATTAAACAATTTGTTATAACTTAATGAATAAGTAACATATGGATCATGATATATTAAATGCCAGAACATTAGGACGGTCTAAAATCATTCATATAGTATTCTACATATTACAATTACGTTCTTCAAATCTAAAAGTTATTCAGGTGTTATTTTCTTTTGATAGACTATCTTGTATATAGATACATAGTCTGTACGGTAAATATATTTTGCATTTATTTAAAATTACATATATATATATATATATATATGTATATGTGTGTTTATATGCATATATAGTGAAGTTTAAATACATAATACGAAGTTTTATAATAGCTGTTTATATATTTAACTCAATAAGTATATAGTAAGTTCTTGATCTTGTTTTTTTAATTGTACATGTATATCATAATATACACGCTTCTTTCTCTGGTATGCATTGCATTTTTTTGTTCATTCACAAAATCGCTTTTAAGTTATTTCCCCGAATAAGTTTGCAAAGTATTGGCAAACGATCTTTCACGAAATCCGATAAATAAATATCACAAATGAGAGAAGAAATTTATGTAATCCGTTTCGAAATCACAGCGTTGAATCGTGCGTTTTATTCGCAAAATAAATTCGCAATAAAACGAAGAAATACGATCAGCGCCGCCGTCACAACGAACGGTTTATTGCTGTTTTTCACAGCATATTTTATTCACATCGCATTTGCATATGTATTTCTACTTTTTATTTCGTCTACATTCTTTTACGTCAGTACGTCATACTGTTCAAAAATACTGTGGCAAAAAATCTGTGAGAGATAACGGATGTATACGATGATCTGTGATTAAAAATGCTTCTAATTTGTATTGGATTTTCGCTCCAACTACGCTGTTGTAGTTCGATCGATTGTTTCGATCGCACATACGTGAGGATCCATGTTTGGCGGGAAAGGATTCTCTCGTAGCAAAACTGCAATGTGATTACTCATAGCTGTTTTGATTGTGATGTATTGTGCCGCTTATATATGGAATTGATATCACTGTGTATGCGGCAATTATTTTAAGAATCAAAGAGAACAGGCCTGGGGTCCAATATATAAGCTATCATTTAACACTCGAGGAGATTTCAAAGTTTTTGTGCAGGCGATGTTCATGTATGACACAACAAAATTGGACAAGCGCTAACACGGAAACGTAAGCACATTACGTGGGCGAGACTGATCGAATGTATCTTGAAAAATTATCAGGGTCGTTTCGTCGTAGGCGAAAAATTCGAGGTGGGGTTGAAGGTTACAGATGGTGGGGCCGATGGTTGTCCTCGTGTCTTCATCATCTCCGCGATCGCAAACTGACCTGTTAGTTCCCTTCGCGCCAACACCGAGCACGAGGTTGCAAGTCAAAGGTAGATATTATTCAAATAAATAATATTTCTCAGTTTGCACATTCTGGAAGAAATTTATTTTAATTGTAATGTTATTTGTGTTACTTCCCTTACGAAAAAGAACTACTGGCAGTAATATATTGCGGCAGTGGTACGAAAAAATTACTGGCATTCTGTGTAATTGCCAGTAATATTCTCAGTGATTCCTGTAATATCTAATAATATTCTTATGTGATTGTCAGTAATATTTATATTACTGACTTTATTTATATGTAATCGGCAGTAGTTCTTTTTCGTAAGGGTTGCTATTAAGTTTATTCTTGTTAACATTTTTTTTTTTTTATTATAAGAATTTGATATAAAAAAAGAATAAATAATCTTTTTTAATACAATTGTATAAAAAAACGAGTGTTCTTTATTATAAGAAAGAATTTTTCCCTTCTCAAAACATTACTGTTGTGCTATTAACAGGTAAAAATTAAAGAAATAAAAAATGCATTACTCGCGAGCTGCGATTTTACTTCTGCCTCTTCTCGTGGTGGTCAACGGCAGTCGATATATACAGTCACGAATAATTGCGTCTGGTAAGTTATCTATTTATCTTATGTAAAGTATGTCGTCGAAAAAAAAAAAAAATCATTCAATTCGGTTTTTTAAAACCAGGCGGCTGCGACAGCTACACATGCGGAGTCAACGCGAGATGTACCATGAGCGAGGGACGACCCGTGTGTTCATGTTTGAATCTACACATGGGAGATCCCCTCGCACGATGCGTGCGGGTCGAATGTCTAAGTAAAGTATCTGCTAAGGATTAAATATCGTCTCTAAGAGGATTTTTTTCCCATTTCCACAAACCTATAGCGTAATCTCTAATTAAAATCTTGACAGCGCGTTATTTAGTACTTTTATCGCACATTTCAGTCAACGACGACTGCCCGTACAGCAAAGTATGCACGAATAACAGGTGCGTCGATCCTTGCGTGGGTCTGTGCGGTGCAAACGCGAACTGCGTGACCAGAAATCACATAGGTACCTGTGAATGCCTGTCAGGATACGTTGGCGATCCGTTCTCGGGCTGTCACGTCGCCGATCCTCGTATGTAAAAAAAACAATTTTCCACCCAAACAGAAATAGAATCCGATAAAACAAATACTATTTTTGCAAAGATATTTACGAGATTGTTTTAATTCAATGCGATATTTGTTTAAATATTCTCTCTTGTTTTTAGAGAAAGAGAGAAAAAGAATTTAATTTATGGCACATAGCGCTTTCTGTATTGCAACAGTTTGTACTAAGAACGTTGCATGTATAATCAGAAATATTTTATGAAATTACGTAGAAGCCGCCTGCAAGCCAAGCCCGTGCGGAGAGAATACTCAATGCGAAGTGATAAACGAAGTGCCGGTTTGTACTTGTTTGCCGGGTTACAAAGGCTCGCCCTTGGCTGGATGTCGTCACGAGTGCGAGAGCGACAGCGAGTGTCCGCAGCATCTCGCGTGCTCCGCCTCGTTCAGATGCGAGAGTCCCTGCAAGTGCGGAGAGAACGCCGAGTGCCAGGTCGTCAGTCATCAAGCGAAGTGCACTTGTCCAAAAGTAAGACGCCTCTGCTTTATCCTTCAGTTTCTTTAAGGACGCAAAAAAAAAATAACGAACGATACGTTACATAACTCTGACTAATCGCGTGTATGATGAAACGCGCGAGAGATCAATTTGTTTTCTCTCTCGTTTTAGACATGGCTGGGAAATCCGTATATCTCGTGCCGACCGGAATGTGCCTCCCACTCTGAGTGCCCGGCGAGCAAACCCGCCTGTTTATATCAGAAATGCGTGAATCCCTGCGACGGCGTTTGCGGAGTAAACGCCGACTGCAATCTACGAGGTATCACACCCGTCTGCAGTTGCCCGAGACATATGACCGGCAATCCTTTTGTTAGCTGCAGACCTTTCGAACCGCGTAAGCGATTGTGGTTATTGTTACTTGATATCTCGGCGAACAACTTGAAGACCCGAGAAAAAGTTGTTCTATTCGAAATCGTGCCTATGTTCCAGGTGATCTCTGTGAGCCGAATCCCTGTGGTGCGAACGCGATCTGCACTCCGGGTCACGATAATACCGGAGCAGAAAGGCCAGTGTGCACGTGTCCCACCGGCTACATTGGTAACGCTCTAGTAAGTTGCCAGCGGGGTGAGTGCCTCACCGACCGAGACTGTCCCGACAATCGGGCGTGCATCGACTTCACGTGCAGAAACCCATGCACAGGTCACGAGTGCAGTCCCAGCGCCACATGTACGGCTCGACGACACATCGCGGTATGCACGTGTCCGCAGGGAACCCGGGGTGACGCTCTGTACTCCTGCAATTTGATCGAAAGCAAATCGGTATATAATTACGGCCGCGCCTATCGCTATTACTAGTCATAAAACGGAATGACGATCCACTTCCGCTATCGAGAAATACTCAACGTTTTAATTCTACCTTAATGTAAAATTCTACCTTAATGTGTAATTTTATCTTAAACACTTTATATATTTTAATTAATACTCGCGTGATTGTGTGTAGTTTTACAAAGAATACAACGAATAAAAGAAAGAAGAAATTTACACGAGTTGTGTAACAAGCAGTCGTAACAGAGTAATCTATTTTTGTAATAATGTGCCGATCTTTTTGAACTCGTGTCATAGATCTCACCCCAAGAGTGTTCTATGTTTTATAAGCTGCAAAAGTACAGTTAAAAATAAATATTAAGTAAACGACTTATACTTGTTGACTTACCACGCATACATTCCTTTCCCATATTTGTCCATCTATTCCACATTCATCATTTATTATACCCAGTCTTACGTATATAGATACGAGATATATCACCTTGTATCTGTAATATTTTTTACAAGTCCGTACACACAGAGCACCACAATATGTCATATATAAACACGATTTCAAAGAAAAAAATTCAAATCTAAACAGTAAGTTTTATTGGATCACTCACAACATTATTACATATTTGTTAATTATGTCTTTATAAAATTAGTTGAGAATTTAGGAAAACTTACTCGTAACTATACTAGTAAAAAATAAATTATTGTGACTTCTTTCTTTTCCTCACGCGTTATACAAGTATATAATATATTGCAAGACTTTACTATGAGAGAATCGAGTAAATTTATGCTACGTATACGATGTATATTAATTTATATTACTTAATATATTTGTATATATATATTGACGTACACATTTAATATATTATGATATATTCTTACATGTATAAGGACATAATTATGGACAGGATGTCTCTTAACTACCGGAAAATTGTTTGATGATTGATTTTTATCATTCTGAGGTGGAAATTTTAATACAAAATGTGTTAAAAAAATCTGTTCTTAAGATATTCGACGATACTTTTAGGACACGCTATATATTAATAATTGTAATATGACAAAGCTGTGTTTACATAGTTTATTATTGAAATTTTGAAGCAAGATAGTATATATGATCCTTTAGTATTTGAGTTCAGAGTTTCAGGCTTCTTTTAGGAATTCCTTTATTTACAAATTTGCTCCGAACGCAAATTCTATTATTAGCCCGTTTTTGTGTTTCCTTCTTACAACTATAACAACGTTAACAAAACATATCTTATTAAGTAAGTTTAATATTAGTCTTACATTCAATCACATTAGAATCTTATTAATTCAATCACAGAACTATAGCTATTCTTTGTTTCAGTATAAAATTATACAAAACAATATTGGGTTAATTTTTTTAAGTTTTTATTTTTTTTTTGACAAACTTTAGTAAAAAATTACACAAAGGATTAAATTCTATCAATTTGTTCTTTTTTTCAATATATTAAATATATTAAATAACTTGTTATACATTCTCTTTTCAAAAGATTTAAATTTTTTTATATAATAATTTTATATAATAATTAATAAAATTAATTAATAAAAAAATTGTGTGAAAATTTCAAAAGTTTTTGAAATAATCTGACATTTCTTGATTTACTAGAACATTAACACATTGCCGACGGGAAACCAGAATTTTTGTTTTTATAACATGTGCGTCGTAAAAATTACTCGTCGGCAATGTGTGTATGTGTGTTAAGATATTCATATCTATATTTTTACAAAAATCTATATTAATAAAGAACAGTATACATATAAAACATAAAAAAAAACAAAAGTCTAAGTAAAATAAATAAATAAATAAATATAAAATATATATATATATATAATTTGAGGTTTCTATTCAAATGTATATTTAATTATGTGCTGCTCTTTTGCCACTCATATAACCTATCCATCTTTCTGCAGTTGTGACAAAAATAGAATCACTGTCAATAGAGTTGAGAAGAAGGAGCTGATTAATATGAGTAGAATGATAATCCCATCTAGCTAAATTGGGCGCAGTTTTCAATGTAAAGTGACGTAAGTCATACGTCGTGCCCGAACCGGTATCGTACAACGTTAACATATTCTTTAACGATATCATACCCTGATTAAAAAGTCTGGATGCTTCTTCCGCGTCCTTTCCCGTCGCTATGGTTTTCAAATCGTACAGACCAATGAGCGAATAAATAAAACCATTGAGAATAAACGAAGAAGGAGTCGTAGGATATTCCTCGTACCAGACGTATTTGCCTAAAAACATCGCAGCTACGCCTCCTTTAGCAGAGGACAATCTGAAAGGCCGTAATCCTCTGACTGCTGCCTGTAAGTATTTCGCCTCGCCAGAATGATAATATGCGCGCGCCAATACTGATATCGCGTGACCCTGACCCATACTGGAATACCTGCAATCGAATACATTTTTTCCACGATCAAATTAAATTTTCCATATTACTTATTTACAAACACAAATTTATGCATTGTATATATTACCATCCAGGCTCAAGAATGCCCATCCCAGATGATACTTTTCTTCTGACAGGATTTGGCCAACCACCTGAGGTAATGTTTTGATTCGCAACGAACCATCTCGCTGCATCATAAAACTGTTCCATATGCTCGCTGGTTGAAAGTGTCATATTGTCAATCATACCGGAACCGTATAAAGTTATTTTCACTATCTGGAATAAATGTAATTTGCTTTACTTGTGTATACATATATACAAACAAGCTTGTAATATAATATATATTTCTTCATGATATTAATATTATTAAACTGTCGAGATCTTAAAGTTGTCGATCGTTACCTTTAGCTTAGATCGCGGCAATTTTTTTCTACTTTTGTCAGTTAAATAGAGACCTTTTTGCAAATCAACTACTAGATCTCTGGTAAGGCGTCTCCACTGATGATTAGTTTGCCCGATTCCATAATACACGTGATTATTATAATTATATACAACTGTATTGCTGGTAACGTAGTGAAGATAATAGATCTCCTTTTTCTCTCTTGACTGCAGTATAACCGTAACACTTCCATTATCCTTAATATTAAGATCCCATTTTAAAACAAAGTCCAACACATGATCCAGTTTCAAAGAAATCCCGGATACGCTAGTCTCTGGTGTGGCAAATTTCAAAATGTAACTATTGACTTGGTTGTCGTACACTCTGCTGACAACTGATCCCTGAGGAACGTTCCAGTTTTGCTTAACTTTATCGGAATCCTCGATGATCTTTCGATGAGGTTCCGGTTCTGTTAAATTTTTACTATAATGCGATAAACCAAATTGAGCAATTTGCGTAGGATAGTAATATCCTTGGCTTTCCCACTGAGTTGATATGGGTACACCTTCAATGCCACTGATGCACTTGACCCTATCTCTGACTTCTACATTGTAATTTTCAAAGGTCATAAATACCCCACGGGGATCATATTTTCCTTTGGGACTTATAATCTTTGAATAGCTGTGCAACCACTCAAATCTTTCCAGGCCATCATAAGTAGCTAATTTTCCATAAATCTGTAACATTTATATATTAAAATGGTAAAAAAAAATGAATGTTGTAAAACTCTTAATTTTATAATACATTAAAAATATATAATATTATAACATGTATAATATACAAGAGATGAATTCAAAATATTTATCAACAAACCTCGAAATATTTATGAATAAATGAAAATGGTATGTATACTTCGTCACCTTCTTTACGACAGCCTATGGAATAATCTCCATTTATATGACAATCTATTTCTTGATATCCTGATTCTGTACTTAAACGATCCTATAAAGAAAACATAATCAGATATTTAATATCTAATGAGATTAATACAAATAACACTTAATTATAATTTTCTTCTCTATTTGTAAAAACAATAAACTAAATAACTGAAATATTATCAGAAATGTTTGCTTTATCTTACTTTATGTTGATATTTGGTTTTCCAGTCTCCACGGAACAAAAAGTTACTGCCACAGTAATTCCATGAGGTAAATAAAAAACTCAATGTCGCGACAATCAATACAAGCAAGATTGTTTTGAAGTTCAAACGCATCATTACATACAAAAACCTGAAGACACATCAAACATCTTAACTTTTTCGTAATTATATACGTGCGTGTCACACGCTGCACAATTAAAAATATATTGACTTTACGATTGATTAAAAGCATGTTGCAGCACAAAAACTTACTGCCAAAAAACGTCACATGTATTCCGTCATTTTACAATTTTGTATTTAAAAGTATCTCAGAGAGCCCGGGACCGTCTCATTTTCGGGGCATATCTGTGACATGCCGATATATGTGTGATCAAGGAGATTTTACAAAATTACATATTATTGCAAATGCACTTCTCAACAGCCAACGAGTTCATTCGATGTGTTTCTAAGTGTTCGCACTTATTTCATTAGTTTTTGACAGTTTAACTATCTTACAGATAGAGGATTGTTGAAATTATGCGGCATGTGAGAGCATTGCTCGGTACATACATGTGGGGGAGGGGGGGAAGAACAAGAATAATAAAATAAAAAGAGAGTACAACATGTTTGGGGCTGACCCAAGTTGGCATGCTCAATATGGCGTGTTTCGAAGTGTAAGGAACGTAATATTTAAACCGGAAAGCAAACTGACCAATCGCGATCGAACGTTCTCAACCAATTGGATCAATCGCAAACTGCGATTGGCCATCTCGCGCATATGGCGTCACTCAAATCAGACATCTGATTGGTTCGCACTTTTCCGATTCGACAAATACGATTTTGGAACGCAGCGTGGCACATGCGCGCTCCAGTTTTGGTTTCACAAAATCGGGAGTCGCACGAACTAAATTGCACTGTGTGACTGTGCGCTGTGAGCACATTGAAATTGAACGTCATATAAATGGCGATACGCGACGTGCGTATGACGTATACGGCGATACACGGAAGAAATTACTTGCAATAAGCGAGCGACCACTTTGCCAAGTCAGTTTTGTTAATACGAGACACGGTGTTGCCGGTTTGTTAAACGATTGGATTTTTTATAAACGAGCTGTGTCTGGTGGTTTTTCTGCGGTAGCGAGAACTACACGTCTCTGCGAAAGGATGGCGAGTTGACCTATCGCGAAGAACGGAATGCTATGCGCGCACAACGGTAAGTTTTAACGATAGGCACGTGAACATAATAAATTCATCCGGATACGCATTATTATTTTAGTCATGATGTAGGAATCTCTCTCGTTCTATCTATCTTTAACAAATACGATTCGAGATCGGACACATCTACACGTATATACATATGTAACGTACACACTCACACACATACACACGCACACATTGTACTTACTGTACACACATATATGTACACAGTCCACGCGTACGTATTTCACACAGCTCGCGATCTTATCGGTCGCATTTTATTATTATGAGCTTGAAAAAAAAAAAAATCTTTCATCATTTGTTATTGAGTTACAGTACCCATTGTGCATAAATACTTAGAGTTTCCTATAATCATGTGTCTCTTTGTTTCGCCATATCACAAATTCTATTATTTGTATGTTCATCTTGTACGATACGAGCTGTTTGATACTTTCTAACGGTATAATTTTTCATGAAACCAAAGGGGAATAACGTACTCCATCTCAATTTACAATTGTGAAAAATTAAGTAATTAAAAATTTTAATTATTTATAATTATGAAAGAAAAATTTTTTTAATATATTACAAAATATATATTTTGTACGTGCGCGAGTATAATAATCTGCAGATATATAAAAAAAAAGACAATTATAATGTGTATTTGTAAATTTTATAGATTATGTTTTACGTCACTATTGATCAAGATAGTTTGATCATCACTATTGATCAAAGTTATATTTTTTTTATTATTAAAAATCCATTATGTGTTATTCCATTATCTTATCTTAGGTTATGCTTTTTCTTAGATAAATAAGTTGCTTATTTAAATACTTTAATGATATTTTCTATATTATTTTCAGATTATTAAAGTGAAGTTACTCCAATCAATGCTAATTAAAATATAAGGTGAATAAAAGTATAAATTAAATACAAATTCCATTGAGATCTAGTCAACAATTGTAAATATAAATAGTGATTAAAATTTATTTGTTAATAAATAGTTAAATATATATGTTAGTTGTAAATAGAGAAAACTAATTTTTTCAAAGTAACCAGATTTTTTTTTATTGTTTATTTAGAAATACTTGAGAGATATAAAAACGTAACTTGGTTTTTCAAGGATGGCGGACGTTGATCCTGAAACTTTGTTAGAATGGCTGAGCATGGGCCAGGGAGATGAGAGAGACATGCAGTTGATTGCATTAGAGCAATTATGCATGTTGTTGCTCATGTCTGACAATGTCGATCGTTGCTTTGAATGGTATGTAACAAAATAATTTATGTAATAATTATAACATTTTTAGTGTGAATATTATATTGTTTACATATTTTGTATATGTTCGACAGTTGTCCTCCGCGCACGTTTCTGCCAGCACTTTGCAGAATCTTTTTAGACGAATTGGTACCAGACAGTGTATTAGAAGTGACTGCTCGAGCTATCACATATTACTTGGATGTTTCTGCAGAATGTACTCGCAGAGTAGTAGCTATGGAAGGTGCCGTAAAGGCAATTTGCAGTCGACTTTCAGGTGCAGGTCTTGGTTCAAGAGCCAGTCGAGATCTGGCAGAACAATGTATAAAGGTATAAAACACAAATTCATTTTATATATATAAATAATAAAAGTAGTTTAAAAGCCATTTATTTTTATTCTCCCGTTGTATGTATTAGGTGTTAGAACTTGTATGTGCAAGAGAAGCAGGTGCTGTGTTTGAAGCTGGAGGTCTCCCTTGTGCTTTATGTTTTATTCGAGAACATGGAGCACGTGTACATCGGGATACATTGCACTCAGCAATGGCGGTAGTTACTCGGTTGTGCGGCAAAATTGAACCTCAGGATAAAACTCTACCTGATTGCGTCGAAGCTTTATCGGTATTACTCAGACATGAAGATGCTCATGTTGCGGATGGCGCACTTCGTTGCTTTGCATCATTGGCAGACAGGTTTTCTAGAAGAGGAACAGATCCTGCACCATTAGCATCAAATGGATTAGTTTCAGAGCTTCTATATAGGTACATATATATATATATATATATATATATATATATATATATATATATGTAGTGACATATTTCTTTTATCACATGCTATTTATACATATGTAAATTATTTTTTTCTTTTAGGTTGTCAAATGCAGCAGGACCTAGTACATCCACTACAGCTGCTTGCAGTAATCCGAAAACACCTCCAATATCGACAACTACTACCACAGTTCCAGCTCCAGAACCAAAGTCCTGTGCTTCAGTTTCAACTATAATTAGCCTATTATCAACACTTTGCAGAGGATCGCCCTCAATTACGCACGATCTCTTACGTTCAGAGTTACCGGATGCGATAGAAAAGGCTCTAAAAGGAGACGAACGATGCGCTCTTGATTCCATGAGGCTGGTTGATCTTTTGTTAGTTTTACTATTTGAGGGAAGATCGGCATTAGGTCGTAGCACTACCGGTGGTCCGTCTGGTCCTTTGTTACCAAGACTAAGACGATTGGATAGCGCCGGAGAAAAGTCGCATAGGCAATTGATCGATTGCATACGCTCGAAAGATACGGATGCATTAATAGAAGCAATCGATTCAGGTGGAATTGAAGTAAACTTTATGGATGACGTTGGGCAAACCTTGCTTAACTGGGCCTCAGCATTTGGTACGCAAGAAATGGTAGAATTTTTGTGTGATCGAGGAGCGGATGTTAATAAAGGTCAGCGATCGTCTAGTTTGCATTACGCTGCTTGTTTCGGGAGACCAGCTATCGCAAAGGTTCTACTTAGACACGGTGCTAATCCTGATTTACGCGACGAAGACGGCAAAACACCTTTAGATAAAGCCAGAGAGCGTGTAGATGAAGGACATAGAGAAGTCGCAGCCATTTTACAATCGCCTGGAGAATGGATGTTACCACCGAATCAGGAACATAGGAAACTTGAAACGGAAGTGGAAGAATTCACAGAACCTAAAGGAGACCCTGAAATGGCTCCTGTTTATCTTAAAAGATTGTTGCCAGTATTTTGTGCAACTTTTCAATCGACCATGTTACCGAGTGTTAGGAAAGCGAGTTTGAGTTTGATAAGAAAGATGGTACATTACATTCAACCGGAATTACTTATAGAAACTTGTGGATCTGATAAAACAGGCGGATGTGGAGCTATGCTTGTAGAAGTAATCGCCAATGTTTTGGACAACGAGGTAAGCGATATGTATCTAGTTGAATTTTCATGAAAGATTTATCTATATTTGTCGATTAGGGGAGATACTTTTTTTAACAAAGACTCAAATCTAATATATGCTCGACATTGGGTACTTGCGATATATGTACGATGTTTTCCTCTTATCGACAAATATGAAAATTTTCAAAAAAAAACCAAGATTTCATAACAAAACGTTCCCAGAAGATCCCAACATCCATACAGGCAGAAAGACAAATTACTGATTCAGTTGGCAATATCAATGATTTTAGTTAAGATTGTTCACAGGAACTTGACGTAACGGCGTCATTATCATCACCTACAATTTTTAAGGCGTTTATTGGTCCGAAATTACCCTGCCGTACATTTCACAAGTCTTCGAGTTCTCGCAACTACATTCTTGATATGACGGTAACGTCTATTACATTTTTCCATTGCTCGCGAGAACCCTTTTAGTCCTTTCCATTCCTGTTCGTAATAATACCATTTCAAGTTTTTTTTTCATTAAGTTTTTAGATAGATATAATTATATCGAGATTTAATATACGTTTTTATAATTAACATAAATGTATTCTTGTAATTTACTTTAAGAGTGATATTTAACGTACTTACGCATGTTTTGTATTTTCACACACTCGGATATTACATATAAAAAATATTACACATATTATTTGATGAAAGAATTATATTTTCTTGCATCAATTTTTATATTAATTAAAAACTTGGAAGTATATCACAATATAATTTCTACATTTATCTAAAATATAAATCAATCTTGAAGTATCATTATATAAGAGACTAATGTGTTGGCTCCCTTTTGATATATCTAATTTTTCTGATTACGATGTATCATTATTCAAAAAATCGTAATGATGAATTTTATTACATATTAATGCGAAATTTATGCGAGAAAGAACTAATCGACTGATCAAAAAGAATGTATAAAAAAAATCATACGATGAACAATTCGATATTGCCGATAATTAAAAAAAACAAGTTTATGTTTGTCTACTGCCTGTTTGCCGCTGGTGGGATCACAAATAATTGGAATTATTTCGCGCCCACTACAATAAATCGTAACAAAGAACAAGAACTATATGTATATACTAATAAACTACACACATCTTATGCTTAATTTAATAAAGATAAAACAAAAAATTTGCATATCTTATTTTTTTTTGATAATGAGAATATGTTACGTAACATTTTGTTTTCGTTGTGTTATGAAAAATATTCTTTTATTTAGAAAAAAATATTTGCTTAAGTTGTTCTTTTTCTTTTTTTTTTTTTTTTTTTTTTTTTTTTTTATGCTTTTTTTTTTTTAAATTACTTAAAAACTCTTATGTGTTCTAATATT